GGGTGATGAGTAAATCGATGAAACAAAACAAAAACTGTTGTCTATAGTTACCACTTTTTCCATGAGTTTTTTCAGGTGATTAAGCCGTTCTTGAATGCTGCTCAGGTTATCTTTAATATTCTTGATTTTTTTGTTTTCTCCTTGACTTTGAAGCCAATGTTGAGTGATATTTTGGAAGACTGAGTGGAGTATAGCCACTTGTTTGTACGCTTTCGATGCAAAGACGTGCAACTGATAGTAAAAATATGGAAATTCAAATTAGACATCACGATCAGCTGCCACAATGAATAAAATCATACGCCAAGATCAGAGTGATTTCTCTCGCTTTGTTAAATCTTTAATCCTGAAAAGTGACCAGCATCTAATTTCTCCTTCAATATCAACCCTGAAACAGTTCAGAAGATCAACTTACCGGGAGCCTGGTGCGGCTATCCAGAAGCTCAAATCCGCTGATGATAGCACCTCTTGCTTCCCGAGGATCGCCAAAGTATTCTTGAGCCTGAATTAAAAAGAAACAAATATTTAGCATTCAGAATAATTTGCCTAACCGTAGAATGGCTTGATAGAATTCCTAAGTCATTAAGTTTGATTTTGATCATTATTATTGAATTAAACCATCTCACTATTTTCTTTGCATTTTATTTCGTTGTCGTTTGTTTGTTTGTTTTTTAATGGATTGATTGCCGTGTCTTTTGGTGTGTTTGGAAAGAGAAGGTTGAAATCAGTTTCTAATTGGAAAATCAAAAATTATTCCTGCTATTAAGACTCTTCCAACCGGCTTTTGATTAGAAAGTGAAAGCCAGTACTTGGAAATACCCATGCAGGGAATTCTGTAGTTATAATAAATTTTGCTTGGTGGTTTATTCTTTGGAAATCTTACCCCATTAAAGAATACATTGTGTATAAAAAACCATTCCGAGACAAAACAATTTACTTCCTCTACACTTACAAAAGCTCTTTTTGTTTCGTATGCTAAATCTTTCAGCTTTGGTTGTGCATGATCACAGAGATATGCCATACGCCTGAAGTATTCTTTGATTCTACCAAGCCGTGCTTCTTTCCCAAGTGGAGCACCAACGGAATGACGAGTAACTCCAAGGAATATAATTAAAAGGAATGAAACGCCTGAAAATTAAAATAAAATTTGAGAAATTCGGTCAACATCAACCAAAATATAAAACACATTAATATTTTCCTTATAAGTTCTTCCGCGAATAAGAAAATATTGATGAAATATATAGCGAAACTGATTTGGGCCGGTAAATCTACGTAAATTAAACGCGGGAGTAAAATGTCATGTAATAAGGTATGTTTCAGGAACTGATTCTCCTCAAATTGAAAATTGATATACCGGATCGTTTTTCAGTATCAGTAAGTTGTACTAAATTTACACAATCTTTATTACAAAATTAAAGGAGTTTCCATGAATCGCTCAGTCTCAGTCAAGCGCTAACCATAAAAGGAAGTTTAGTCAAATGGCTTTAACTACTTTTACATAAAAAGGTTACTTCACGAACGATACTCCTGAACAAATCAACTTCACTCACAAGTTGAAATAGTTAAGGATAGTTTAACAATTAAAAAAATGAGATAGTATAAAATGCAGAGAAACTTACCTGTTATAGACATATCAAAGGTGAAGTATCTCTGAAGCAGTTTTTGTCCAATGAATTTCGATATCCAGTCAATGATATAAGGACTTGGATAAACTTTCAGTGCAGGCGTTGATTCGTAGTTTTACCCAAAAGTGAGAAAGCCCCATGTTGTGCAGCAGTTTTTATTGAACAACAGCCAATTAAAGGAAATCCTTTTCATGTCATGTTTCTAAATTTCAAACTGGGTATTTTCCTCCAGAGCAAACTGGTGCTTTCCGGTTAAGAGTCACAGTCAGGTTGTAAGTTTCTTTCTGTTGAAAAAAGGGGTTTTCCATTGAGCTCTTGGTTAAGGGTACTTCTTCCGAGCTGAACCGATTTAATACGGTCCTATCGTCTTCCTTCGTAAAACTGGCGCGTAATCGCTCCATGGTTACGCAAAGAAGTAACTGTAGGCTTTCCGAACATTTAAAAAAATTCTTCCAAATTAAAAATTATTGCATTAAGGAATTAAAAGTTTGCGCTATGTCTACGTTTTGTGCTATAAAAAAGGTTTATGAGTTAACCGGAAAATGAATACTAATCGATTATAACATACTTAAATTCCCCATAAACCGCAAGGCCGGCTGAATGTTGTCACTGATTTCACAGGTATCGTTTGTAAAAAAATACCTGACAACGACTTCCGGACAAGAGGCAGTTAAAACTGGTACGTATTGGTAATGTAGGCCTAATGTGTTAATTGGTCACAAACATAAAAACAAATATATAAAAGGTCTTTACCAAAATATAGCTTTAAGGTTGTCGCAACAAAAAAAAACTTGCTTCCTTCTTAAACAATGTAAAACAATGTAACAGCAATGTTCTAAAATTAGCAAACGCATTTGACAAACAGAGCATGACTCTGTTAGATTCGGCGAAAGGTGACGCTGATGCCCTGCATATTCACGAGAAATTCTTATTTTTTCGCATTGCGCCATGTCCTGAACGTCATACAAAGATGGGCTTAAGATCCTGTTTGGAAGTTTACAAAAATATCTGAAACAAGCAACGATTCAAGTGACTCATGTTTCTGATTCGTACATCCAATGCATTGATAATCTAAATATCTTGTAAAAAGAGCAGCATAAGCCAAGCTGAATGAGAGTGTCAAAAATGTTGGCCTTCTTTTTGCTCTTATCTTCATAACAATTGAGCACTGAAAATCGTTTACAATTATCTCGGATAACAACTTCAAGAATAGAGTGATAAAAAGCAATTATAGACAAAGCTTGACTTCAAATGCAAATTTGTTAACGTGAAAGTGAAGTCAACCGTAACACTCGGCTGATTGTGTAAAAACAATAGTAAACCGGTTATTTACACAAAGTTCATCCGTTGTTTAACTTTAAACCGTTTTATAAAAATTGTCTTCAGGCTGATCAATCGTTTTCTAGGATGTAAATTATTTTTATTAGTGACAAAAAGCATCTTTCTGACTCTGGTTAAGCATCGATTTACTTCAAACAACTGAATTAGAAAGAAATCTTATAAAGATCATGATGAATTAATTTACCGGCCTTATCGGTTGGTTCCAGCTGAAAGAATCTGTTAGGGTTCATCCAAGTTTCTTGTAAATATCAAATGACAATGAAAAGCTGGTCGCAAAAATATTGGTGTTTTGTATTTTTATTCATGAGACGTGAAACGAGATTATAACCTTAGTTAGAAGCAAACAATTGTAACTATACTTCACCGACTTTGAATTTATTCACTGAATAACGTTACATGTCGCCTGTCAAACCTTTTTTTATAGACAGCCATTGGTTCTCGAGCAGATACACAAAAATCTAACACAAACTGATACAGTAACGATTGGTTAAGACTTCAAAAATGCGAAAACATGGCGTTGTAATGATTGCAGCGCTTTAAATTGGCCTATTTGTTTTGAAGAGCTGTGGACGTCTAGTTCAGAGCAAAGCATTCAGCGTACAACAGAACTAACTCAGTCACAATTCTTCTTCGTGAAATGTTAGTGATCCTCATTTTATCTCATTAACTAACTAGATTTTTTTAACTTAGGAGAATTCCGCAGTTCCTGATGTTTCAGCAGTGACAGAACTTGACTCTGATGATTCCATGGCTTTGATTGAAGACGGCAAAGAATAATTCGTTAATCATTCACTGAGATGCCTCAGTATGGGTCCTAACAAATTTCAAATCTGACTACTTCGCGGTAAAACGAACTTAATTACGACGCAACATTATGGTTTTAAACTCTAAAAACCTCGGGAACGATATTCAAAAAGGCGGAAAAGGAAAATGAGGGGGCGAAATAGGAAAAGACTTCAATGGATCACATTTTGATTTCATTTTTATATAAATTGGTTCAAGTGTTTCACACGATGCTTTTAATTAAACTATCCGGGTTTTACGGCGATCACGCACTGTGGGGTCTCACGTGTGGGTTGAGTTCCTTGTTGATATCCTCTTTAGCGCGGGGTCATCATCGAGGTTCTGCTTTTGTCCGCCTTGCACAACAACGTACACTTAGAAATCCAAATCGACTGAAAAACGGTGAACGAAGGGCAATCTCGTCGATGTCACACTGACATCATCCGATTTGTTTCACGTTAACATTTGATTTCCTTTTAAACTGGATGTTCGGATTTGAAGCTAAATAAAAATAATTGTAAGACTCTACGCAAGGCAAAAACTTTGGATTCAAAGTTAAAGTTATGAGTGAACTACCTTAAAATACATAGAGACCCTGTTGAATTGAAAATTATCGTCTGCTAAAGTAGACAAGCAGTGAGATGAGAAGGTGACAATAGACAGAAAAGGAACCGAGTGTGGTTGATGGGGGATAAGACTGATACAGATTGTCAAAGAGCTTACGCTGAGTTTGCACAGCGTGACGGAACAAATCAAACTAGAGGTGTCGTAAATCGTGTAAGGCGGTGTCTCAGCTAATACGGAACAGTTTCATGACGCAAGCAGCTGGTTAGAGACCAAGAAACAGACACGACTCCCGAATTAAAGGGTGTAAAGGGGTCAGTTATTTTTTATTTATACGTGGTCTCATTTTGAAATGCTGCGGATCTCACTTAAGTGTCAATTCAATCAATTATTAACTTTTTGGAATTGATCAAACAGTCATAAGTGATATATAAATTGAAATTTATTCATCCTATTAAAACTAGTGATACTGACTACAATCGTTTGAACTGACAAAATTCAGAATTGTATCATAAATTGAACAACATTTGCTCTCTTATAGTCAACCTAAGTCAATTAGCTAAGGTAAAAAAATACTCCAAATCTATTTCAATCCATAAACTATCAATGGTGTTATTTTGCTCCACTAATATTCGCTAATGAATGAAAGTTGCAAATGCTTCCCAACAAGGAGCAACAAGAGGTAATCCAATAATCCCAAGGTAATCCTGTTTTGTACAAACACTACATGTATCCAACGAGCACTGAGCTCTACATTATAAAGTTTCATTGATGCAATGAACGAACAAGCTAACTCTAAAATCAGATTAATCAAGCGAAGGTGTTTGCCTGGTGAAATTCACCCGCAACTGGGATTAGCCACAAGCTAAATTCCTTGATTATTGCGAGTTTCCATTTGTCCTGTTCCTTCTGAGTTGTGGGTGGCGCGCAGGAGGGTTGGAGAGAGCTTCCTGGACCGGTGATTGTACCCCCAAGTAGCTTTTGCTAAATAAAGTGAACAAGAAACCCCGTTAATTACCACATTTGTTTAGAGTCGCTGTTTCCCAAGCTCTCACTGAAATTAGTAACTGGTTGTTGTATTACGTATTGCAAAATGCTCCTTTGTTTGTTAAGTTTCATCATCTCTCCATCCTCGGGATTTACAACAAAACACTTTTAAAGAATTCTTCCTTTTAGCAAAATGTAGTTTCTCTTTCCCTTAAGGCTCAATATCATGATTCCCTCGACTTTGTCTTAGAAAGAATAGTGTTAAAAAAACACTTTTGTTTGTGGAATTTCTAGTTCCTTGGGACTTATAACAAAACACCTTTAGAAAAAGGTCTATACTTCTTTTGGGAAACGCTGATTTCCCTTGCCTTGAGGCTCAATGTTTCCCTCGACTTTGTCTCAGGAAAAAAGTGAGAGTCTTGAGAAAGCCAAACTTTCCTTTCCACTACACATTTATTGAATACTGTTTCCTTAGTAAAGAAAACAAGAGAGTGTCCCTTTTCTCAGGGCCCCGATACTTCTCTAGTCTCCCTATCAATTTGAGGGTGACGCCAATTCCTGTTTACTACGTCAGTCTGTCCCATTATTAAATTTTACCCCGAATAAAACGCGCTTACGCTGTAGTTTTATTATCTCGAGCTACGGTAATTTTCTGTGAAATTCGAGCTGGTAAATCGGCGAATCGTTTGTCGTAGACTCTCATTAACTCAAATGTGCAATTACAGTGTGACGTAACTTGTAACGAACAAAATGGAAGTTCATATTTTGTTTTTAACACAACGTTAAAAAAAAAAGTTATTCTTCCATACAGTTTTCAATTTAATATTACTCACCATTCGATTGATTTGGTTGATGAGAACTTTGACTCCGTTCTCAATATCTTGCAGTCTTGCCGTAAATGGACTGTTTTGGATCTGGGCTTCTTGATTTTTCATAATAGAAAGGAATGTTTTGAAGACATACAACTGTTCTACGTCTGTTTGCAAGAGCACCGTTTCCTGCAACATAAGTCAGGAAGATATTTCGAATCACTTTTCTTACTCCAGGAAACGTGTTCCTTCAGAGTTCCGGCGATTCCGAGAAATCTTTTGTCTTCGAAACACTGTTTACTTCAATCTTACACTTCAGTAGAGAAATTTGCATTTTCAAGTATACGTTTTAGTGGAGAGAAACGCAAAAGTTGTATGCGTCTAGTATGACACATGAAATTTTCAGCATGAGACCCAAGAGTACTTAGATATGTGAAAGACCAAAAAGGTTTACGCTAAAGGAATGAGAAAAAGCAAAGTTCCCCGTTAAAAACTTCGCTTAGTTTGATTAAATGCTCTTTAAGGATTTTTCAGACATCAACATCGAACTTAAGGAAACAATCACGCGGTAACTTGGCTAATATCTCAACACTAGTACTGTCTGGAGCTTTCAAGGTAAGTTAAAGTTTTACCTTGAGATCCATTTATTTTACCGTGATACTTCGAATTCAAAAGGATGTGATTTACACTAATGATTTAATCGATGACTTACGGGAACACCATCTTGATTCAATGTTGCTCGTGGCAAGCATGGAATTCTGAGGTAATACTCGTCGTTGTCCTTGCTTCCCATACGGACCGACGCCTGTGCGAGGTAACATAGATACTAGGAATGAGTAATATGATATACTACGAAGTAGGTAACATGACATTTTGAGAAGGGTTAAAAGTGAAATCCACGACAAGCGCAAGTCAACGAACTTTCTTCTATCTGCTGTCAGCCGTTTGTTCGTGAAAAGTGAAGCTATTAACGTTCTCCGTGAACAGAATAGTTTCTATTTTTATTCCCATTTCTCCCTTACTGATTTCGCTACAGCATTGTAACATATGTGAGCAAAATCGAAGTTCAAAAGTGCCTTTGGCTGTTGCTCCTAATGTCATGCGTGATCTAGCAAAGTCAATAAGATCCTGCATTTGACACGAGAAATTCTTGGAGAGAAGTTTTGGACGAGCCAGAATAGTGAAGAAGTCATTTTTATTCCTCTTTTAGATAAAATCTACCTCCGAAATTGATAGTAAACTGGTTTAAAAAGGCTTAGTCAATTTTAAATCAGCCCGTCTGGTTGTTAAGCGTTACGCGTTTCAGTGTCAAATTAAGGCGCTTCAATTTCAAAACGCAGTTAATTCCGTATAATATTACCTCAGCTTCAGTGGGAGCAGAATTACCTCATTGGCAGTTATGCAGGGTCTAATTAATTACATGTACCCACGTTTTAAAGTCATAAAATGATTCGCAGTTGCATTTTAAAACTAGTTTTCCCGATTTACCTTATTTGATAGTGAAATCCGCGAGAAAATTATACCACGGGTAAATTCTCCTGTAACATCACTTTTTTATTGTAAATTCCGAATTATGACCAATCAAAACAAATAAAGGTCTCCGGCGACCAATAATTCAGATATGATTATGTGCCGCCGTGACATACAAGCAGATAACAGAGAACAGCTTAAAAGATTTGCTATTTTCGTCCCCCTTGGACGGTTGTAAATTTCCTGAAAAAAAAATCGCTCATACGGTCACTTACAAATTCTTCCTGCATTGTCAAGGTCATATTATGGAGACTCCGGGTCTGGCCATATATCCAGCCTTTCCTCCAAACAACGGACCCAGGATTCACGCTTGCTGGGGCAGCCATCGAATTACCAATGAACATAACGCCCAAAAGAACTAAGGCAAGTCCTGAGAAACCTGTGGGAAAAAAGAAAAATCACGAGTCACGGTAAAATACTACAGACGAAAAAATTAATTTTTTGGGGCGTTTTTTTCTTAGATAACAGCATTTTAGTTGCCTGTTGAGGTTGAGGTTAAAACTTAGGAACTTAAAATAATTCCAAAAGCATTTCCAGTGTAACTTTTTACGAAAACTTTATACTCTCGCTTTATTATTTTTTTTTCTTTTGTTTTCACCCGAACAAATACAAAAAGTTTGACAAAACCATAGCGTGTTTAAATGACATCCTAATAGACTTTAAGCTTTCTTTTGGTAAACTGTTGCTTGGTAGTCCAATTAAGATAGCCTTAGTTGAAATATTTAAGACCGATCAAAAAGTTTTCAAAGAAAATCTTAAAAAAAACCAGTTAATTCTAAACCCAAAACGGACTCCTTTATCCTTGACTTACCCAACTTTGACGACTTCATGTTAAAAGAAAAAAAACTCCTGTACTTCGAATTGACAGTGTTGTGACTGTGTTCTTCTGAACGGCTGGTGATAAAGATCCCTGGCCAAGCTCTGCTTAAGTACTAAAGTAATTATGCCAAGGGGAAACGAATAACAATGATTTCGCCATAGTCCCTGTAACAGGCAAAAAATAAATCTGCGAATTTACGAGACTCATGTCTAAATATATATGTCATTTGAATTTTTATTCCACTTCCTTTTTTTATATGAATTCATCTATCCTCCCTTCCCCTATTTTCTTGGTTCTCAACGATTAAAATATACAATTGTGAAGCATAATTTGACTTATGATACTTCTTACTTTTCCCACTCTTAGTTTCACGATGTTCTCGAATTCTACTGAAGTCTGTGGGAATTATTCTTTAGTATTGATTACGTCGACCCTGAGTAGGATGGAAAAATTATTATTACTAATTTATGCATTTTCCCTTTTCAAAGCCCGTCGTACTCTGATTTTGAGATCAATGATAATCCAGCCTTCTTCACAGTCATTTAAGGATCCATGCGTTGACGTCTTGATTTTATCGATGGAAGTTAAAAACGCCTGGTAATTAACTACTCGATTAGTGTACATAGCGAGAAATATGATACGTAATTTGACACTCCCTACTCGTATGGAAACGAAAGTGGAATTTGATATTAAGCCACCGTTCAAGTCACCTTCAATGTCTAAGCATTATTTGGATCCGAAACAACCCATGGCTTAACAATTCTTAAATAAAAAGCTTATCAAAAGCTCTTCTTTCTCAGTCCATTATTGCTGTCAAATATCAATTTAGATTCCAAGTAATGTAGTAGCAGTGACAACGGAGAACAAACACACTTCCGTTTCATCCGCTTTGTAACAGAGGTGAAACGCATATTGAGATAGCTTAGACGCCACTTTCAAGGGATTCTGACCTACGGTTTTAACGCTTCTGTTTGCTTATATTATGGTTGATTAAGATTTTGTTTCGCATCTTCATTTTCACGAAATGGTCAGTTTTTAGCGAAAAGTTGTCGCACTAAGAAAATTAAATATGAAATCGCCGTGAATAACAGATTTCAAAAGGAAATTTAGTCTCAGCTATGAACGTTATTCAATTAAAATGATTCTTTGTTCCTTCTGTGTTACAGAAATTTTGTTTCATTCACGTTAAACTTCGAACGCTATTCCAAATTCCGGATTCCGTTGGTTGACCAGAGTGCTTTTAAACCACGATCTTACATTTGATCAGTTTCATTTCGTCCATAACTTCCTTACTTCTTTTCCAACATCTTATTTACTAGTTGTGAAACGTGATGAATCCAGAATTGCTCATTTTTCTCCCTTCTACCCCTCCCAGTTATTTGGAATTCTCATTTATCTTACGGCCTGCACGAGCTTTATGCCGTTAAATGCTTTATTGCCATATTATCATCAAATTACCCAACAAGTATCGATCGCATTACGTCCGCTTTTTTAATCGTGTACGAGTCTTTAGCGGTTTTGTCATCCGGATAATTACTCCGTGTTATCTCGCTCATTGCATGATTTTTGTTTTATAACGTATTTGATTTTGATAGCCCACCACACCAACAAGATCATACCTAGTAATTCAGATTGAAATATTTACTCAAACTTTTATGATAAAATCAGTACCAAGAAATATTCTATAGTCACCTTTTTTAATAGAGGAATAAATGTTTTAAAGGTTTTAGAGCCATTCCGCAAATCTGTGAACATTGTTGAGCCCCATATTTTTTCCTTTAAAATTAACAAATTCAATGACTAACGAAAGTAACTGTTTTGACATACCGAAAACTGCATAAATTTCAAAGAATTTAATTTTTCCCAGTGACCTGTTCGAGGAACAAAATATTGAGCTCGACATCATTTTCAAGGGTTTATTTTTACTCGCTACTTTAGTCATGGAAAACAAATCAGAATTATTTCCTATCCATGACGAAAAAGCTTGCTCAACTACAAGCGTAAAATGTCGTTTGTTTTGTTCGCAACTGCATGCATAATATATGATTTGCATCAAGATAGAATTAGGTGGAGCAGAATTGAATTGATTTCCACGTAATGAAATCCTCCTATGGCGAGATGAACAGTTCCGTTAGTCCCTAACTGAACGTTTTCAGAATTGTTCCATTTTTTCTTTGAAAATGTCAGAAATATATTCGTTTACGATAGCTAATCATCAGCTTACCACTATCGTAATCGAAGGTATGACTTAGTAATGTTTCTATCTTTAGTTTTAGACGCTCCCTTCTCGACAAAAGATACCAGCTGTTTGTCCCAAACAGTAGTCGTTACTTTTCTTTATCGCTTTTCTTTTTTTAAATTTAACCTAAAAATTTCATGATAAATTCGATAAAAACCTTTTCATATCACCCTATAAGACAGCCTGGAAACTGACTGCATTCTCTTTTCATAATGATCCTCAATAGAGACACAGGACTGTAGAGCATCATCGCTACATGTACAATTTTACTTGATTAGTCAAAAATCGTCTTTCAATAGAAAGAATTCGTGAAACGACTTTTCATAATAATAATAAAAAAGAAATTTAAAGAAATATGAACAAACAAGAAGATAATAAGAATGATCAGAATGTATTTATAGAGGATTTAAAGAGGATTCCATTCAACCAACTAGGCTAAATTTCTCAAGACGTTCAAGTACTGACGTCATTTCCTTTCAGAGACGGGACGGGAAGAAAGAGGGGACAGACGTAACTTAGCTTGTTTCGTTAATTCCGTGCACGGCCGATGATGTTCCCAATCAAGTGCGGACGCAGTCACGTAGCTTGTTCTCTCGGAAAAGGAAGTTTACCGCAAAAAATAGGATTCACAGTGACTTCGTTTCCGTTTGGATCTTTTTACCCTCGGAGAGAGTGTGTCATCTATATACACAAAAAGACTGAGTGGAATGAAACCCTCTGAATATTTGCTTTTTCTACATTTTGAAACTGCAGAATTTACAATTTCTTTAATCCAAAACTAAAGAGCTTGATGTCCAAATTTCTTTTTAGTGAAAGCTAGGATTATTATTAATAAACAAGGAACGTGAATATTTCCGGTTTTGTCCTTAACAAATATTAAAATCAAACTCCCCTTAGAAACAATTGATGACAACCGAAGTGTGTGATATTAATGAATATTGCTTCGTGTTTGAACGCTTCTTTCTTTCTAATTCAGTACCTAAATCTGCAGAGATGATTTCACCATTGATTAAACAAAAAATCGTATATAAAGAAGGCCCATCGCGTGAAAAGCTTGAGTTCACGACTCAGATAGATATCTTAGAAATTCACAACTACATTTGAATATTTGTCGAAAGAGAAATCCAGACTGACCATAAAGATGCCAGGTATGAAACATAGAGCTATTTAACTATTCATGTAGGGAGAAATTCTGCAGCCTAAGGTCTTTTCAGTGACTTACCTTCGATCTTTATTTTACCTGTGATCCTGTAAAAATTGACTAAATTACCAACTTAACATTATCACAAGAGACAAACCATTCATCCACAGTCACGTGTTGAGCCTTTGGCCTCACGTTTGACCATGAGACTTAAGATATAAGTACAAAATTTTACTTTAAAAAATTTCTTATTCATAGCGATCTTTTCCTTAAAGGAGATTATTTATCTAAAAAGACTGATTCAAATGCAAATTTACGCTCTCGCGTCATATTCTCAGTAGTGCAAGAATACATTCGGTTTTAGCCTCCCCATACTTGTCTTAATTTTATATTTCAGAGACCCGCTCTATATTCGTATACACCTCTTGTAAAAATTAACTGGAGACAAAAGTTGTTAACACTGGTTTAACACTTATTGTACTAAGGAAGAGGTTTTGGTTGATTGATGGAATACATGATTGATTCAATAACAAGTTGAGTAGTCGATTGAATGACTGACTGTGGGATTGACTTACTGACTGACCGACTGACTGATAAATTGACTGGCTGACTGGCTGGCTGGCTGTCTGATTAAATGACCAACTGACTGACTCACTCGCTAACTGTTTGACTCACTGGCTGACTGAATACCGACTCATTTTCTGACCCACTAACGGATTGATTCATTGACTGACTGACTGATTGACTTACCGATTAATTGACTGACTGACTGACTAACTGACTGACTGACTCACTGACTGACTGACTGATGACTGACTGACTGACTGATGGGCTGATGGACTGATGGACTGATGGACTTAATAACTGACTGACTACCGGCTGACTAACTGACTCACTGACAGACTGACGGCTGTCTGACTGACTGATTAAATGACTCACCTATTGAACGACTGGATGACTAATTGATGATCAACTACCATGGCTGATCGACTGATTTAATGACAGGTCGAGGAATTAACTAATGGATTGACTGATTCATTAATTATAGGTCAACTTAGCCACAAACTATCAATACTCTTGGTTTTAACCATGATTGTCATGTCATCGTGCGTTAAATCTTCTACTCCACGAACCAGAAGGTCCCTGGTTGGCCCTGCAGCGGTAGGGGTGGTGCAAATTGGAATCCCCGCATCCCATCAAGTCTTAGACGACTGGTGCATGAACCTTACAAAACACCTCAACACAACTTTGGAAAAATTTGTAAGTTATGAAGACTGTGTGAGATTTGATACAAATCTCATCAATACGAGTCTCAATTTGTTGCGGCTTATCAGAAAAGACGTCCAAAGCATTAACAGCCAAGTATTAAACTGCACTTTCAAAGAGGTGGTCAAATCTGTTTGGTTTCGTTTTCAATTTTGATTGCAGCAAGGGGGGAGGTGATTTTTGTCTTTTTATCATTCTTTCTTTCTTTCTCTTTTTTAGAAAACACAGATTGAGGCAACACTAATCTTTAATTCCAAATTTCATGTTCTTCGTGAACTTATTTCGTTTCCCTTTTTTTCTCTCTCAATTCTCAGGGAAGTATCACTTTCAACACATCAATGGCAAGCTCCGTTATCTCATCCTCAGGAATTACGGTAAGTGCGTAATCATTTTACCTGCCATCTCACCTTTTTCAAATGGTCTGGTCAATTTTCCAAGTTTGAGGGTTCAAAATAGTATTTCATCCTTCTATTATGACTGCAATAGGGATCTGTACCCGTTTAAGAGCTCGGCTTTTGGCCATTTCAAGATGAAGTCAAGTAGGGTGAAATGCCACTATTAAGTAGGTGAAACGCCTTGTCGGAAAAATCAAATACGTGTGCTGTTCATGTAATGTGAAAGGTGACTTTCACAGCCTTTCTGTTGTTTTTTTTTTTTCTTTCCTTGCCCTGTGGACTATAAAGAGAGGCAATACTCTTTTCGGTTCCTTACAATTCCTCCAACATGAACAAGAGAGTATAGCTTCACTAGTAGTATTGCGGTTCCCCCAATGATATTTTAAAAATGTAAATAGGTTACGTGGAAAATGCCTAAATGGTATTCATAACCTAATGTTCTCTTCTTCCTAAACAGGTTCTTCAGAGACTTACATTTGACTTGCAACACTTAGAAATCTACTATCTTCTATTTGGTCAAATCTCAAGCTCAATTTCAGATCAGAAATTTAATTTGTGTGTAAACAATGGTATCAACCTCATGGGAGGGCTTGTTATCGGCATGCAATTGACGGTAAGTAAAGCTGTGTTTTTTCCCCTTAATAATGGCATTATTAATTTCTAAATTGTCAGCCGTTTCAATGCATGCCGTGAAAACGGCTGTTAACACCATGTTTTTCCGTTCTTGTTCCCTGAAAGGAGCTCTATCTCAATGGTACGTCACCATTCCCCCCTCAGTTCGTTAATGGGGGAGCGATTGGCGGCCAGACTCGTTACCAGGACCTCAGTCAGGAAATAGCACAGCTCAAAAGTTACATGAGAAGACTGGCCATAATTCTGGCTAGCAAAGACTTAACCTCAGTACAAGTTTGAAGCCAATAGGAAGTCATCTGAAATGACAACATGGACTAATAACGATTAACTTCAATCCCATGATCTATTTAAAACAAATTATTTATACTTATGGAATATGTAACTGTCTCAATTACTACTTTTAAAACTGTTCGAATATTAATGCAACTCGCCGCGGTTTAATTTATTGATTGTATTTAGTTATTTATTGATTATGGCGTGTTTTCAACCCCAACTTTTCACAAATGAACATTTGTTAATCATAATTAATTATCAAACATATTGTACTTCGTATTTCTCATAGATGCATGATGATAGTGGTTTCTGTAAATTTCAAAGGAAAATAAAGTTATTGAACTGATATAAGACGAGCTTTTGAGGAATTTATTCTTAATAAAGGAACCTTAGTCTTCCCTACAAATTGATAACGAAAACATGATGACTATTACTGTTTAAGGATGACCCGACGGTCGATCAAGTTCTATTACACTGATTAAAGTGCTGCTAGTGTTGACAAGTGTTTAGATTGGTTTAAGTTCTAAGTTCTTCCGGGTTTAACCCTTACAAGGAGTTTCCTAATTTTTACAGTTCTAATATGACCGAGAACCGCATTTGTAATTTCTAAAGGTCGTTTCGTAACGTTCACTTGATTGATTTAAACTGAATCTTTTATAGACCTGTTTGTTTACAGATTGACACTCTTCATCAGGTGAAGCCTGACATCAAATCCAGAGATTATCAAGAATATTTTCACCAACTTCCATAGTAAATGGGTAGAGTTCGTAAATGATGCTGACAGCGATTAACCAAAATATTTCTCTTTGTAGGTCAAAAACAAGTAAATACAATAGTTGACAAATTTACATATTCACAACTAGATAACAACTTAGTTGATACCTGCTAGATACAGCCTGACTGACGAGGACTTGACAATAATTTCTAAAGACATTTTGCATTCCGCAATAACCCAGAATAGCATTAACGTTACGAAGCTCTTTTACAGAGAATTTGGAAGTTTAAGTGGGTCTCTAAAACAGTGATAATGGAACCCACGCTCCCTAAACTTTTGTGAAAGCAGTTAGCCATGGGTGTGATGTTTGGAGGTTTTGTACCGGTGAGACATACGAGTTTGGATAAATAAGCCTGACTGCTTACGAAAATACCTACTAAAGTTTCAAAAAGTCAGAGGTTCAATACTTCATTCTAGATCCACATCTTAAGCTAACTGGTTGCTTGGCTGGTTAAAAATTGGACGTAGTTAGGAGTCAGTATGTCTGACGCCTTCAAACATTGGCTCACACTGTAGCGACATTCCAACTTTTGGGACGAATCTACAATGTAACAAAATAAATAAGACTTTTTGGCGAAACAAGCGTTACATGAAGATGGTAAGAATACGACTGTCGAAAAAATTAAGACTTCCATTCATTCCCATCTTTCATTCGCGCGGGGTTCGTTTTCTGATTCGAAAAATATGAGTCGTAAACTAACAAGATTAAAAAACAAATTCAACAGCAGCTTGGTCTTGCAGTGTGCTGGTAAGACCACAAAAGAACTAAAAGGTACACCAAAACGGAAAGATTGCACATTACTTTTTACCAAATGACGTGTAGTAAAAGATTTGAAACGCAACAAACGATACTCACATTAAAAATTATTTAAAAAGCTTTTTGCAGCAATGAAATTTGGAATTTGCAACACTGAAAAGGTATAACTGTTGCAATATACAGAAAGAGGAAAATGAAATATTTCACAGCTTACCATTAACGATCCACTTATCTTGAGCAATGTACGAAACCGCTGGTACACAGTACTGTGCTACACCGTGTTCAGAGGGACTGGTACAGTTCAGCATCCAAACCGGTACAACTACTCGAGTATAATGCTACAAATAATAAAAATATTTAAAAAAAAAATGAAGATAGGAAAGTGAAAGGGTAACTACGAACTACGGAACAATGCCTATTTACACTGAATTAGAGCAGCCTTTGTATTAGTTTAAAAGGGTGATAAACTTTGTATTTCGCGTGTCTGTAAATTTAACTGACATACAAAATCGTTAGTTTTAGATTGTTACGAATCAACAGAGTCACATTTGATCAATAAAAATTAAATACTAAACAGAAATTTTCCTCCATTTGTTACTGACCTTAGGATAACCCATGCAGTTATCCAGCATCCTCAGTTCTGTGTCAGTTATCGCGTACACACATCCTTCAACTGAGTTTCTTGGAGAGAATTCCATGTTAGGAAATCCGCCAGCTTCATCGGATGTACCTACCGAAATAACAATTTGGATAACATGACAAATAACCATATAGAAAGAGTACACATAAAAATTACCAAACATCATTAAATATGGATCTTATCTGCCCTTTCAGACTGGAACGCTCACGGAATTCAAACGAAACGTCTCCTCGAGAGTTAGATTTCTCTTTGTCAAAAGCTAAATTATCCATGTCTTTCTTTTACGCCACATAGAACATATGAACCTGTCTTGGCACGAGTTCTACGAAGTCTACTTGAGGGTGAAGTGTGAGTTGAGTACCACGCTCACCCTTTGATTTTTGAAATAGCTCTGTGTGCAAATTTTACTACCCTTTACCCTAACTATGTAAAATAGCGTGACAGACAAAGGCTATTCAACAAAAAACAGGAACTTCACGGTCTGCTCCTTGTAAACAGTGTCTAAGGTTCTTAGACTGAGAACCAAAAGACATAGAGGTGCGAGAAACCGAGTCCTCATGCGAGAAAGTTAAACGATGTCCCATAATTTTGCGGATGTCATTACAAATACATTACATATTATTCCTGAGTAAGACGTCTCGAACATTCAACCGCCCGAACAGCAGTACGGTGCTCTAGGTCGTTCGATCGGTAATGCGGAAGGGAATGAGTATGAATCCTCCTCGGTGATTCAAACCTTTTTTTTTTTACGGTTCCAAAACATACCCCTCTTGTTAAATAGAATCTGGAATCCAAACAGAATTCCCCACAATCGCGTTTTAGGCTCTCGACGCAAGTAAATGGCCATCCTATAAAACAAAAAATAAATAATTACAAAACAATCAGTAAGTATACTACTTGCTTTTAGTATAATTTCAGAGCTGAACAAAGGGTTTCTAGCAATCTGATTGGTCGAGCGGTTCCTTATATGACGCAATATAAACCGCTCCACGCGGTTTATGTGAAATGTTAAAATAAAATGCTAATTAATGTTACTAATGTGTTATGATTTTAGAAATTTCTCTATTGTTCAGCTCTGAAATTATACTAAAACAATTATTCGCCTTAGGTTCGGTGAATATTGTCGAATAATCCCCTCGACTTTGTCTCGGGGATTATTCGACGATATTCACCTCGCCTTCGGCGAATAATTTTTAAGTAGAAAACGGTCTTTCGTACTAAATGAAGTGGTATTTACTTTCACGACACTCATCAAATACTTCCACGATTCCATGCGGCTCTTTTTGAGAGGTTCTTTGAGTAAATACAGTAAGAGAGAGTTAGGAAAAGGAAAAGGGGGGGAGGGGTGGGGTGAAACAATGTCAACCATAACTGTACCTAAAGTCTTGACCGAAAAAAAAAATTAAGAAAACCACCATGTTCACGAAGAATTCCTACAAAAAAGAAGATCGACATATCACTACTCAACCATAATTCTATTTTTGTTGTTTTTTACTGTAGTGTTTTTTAGTCACTTACACGGCACAATTTAAAAGAAGTGAAACGTATGAGTTTTCGTTTAAGTCGTCTTGATCCACTACAATGAACCTATCAGAAATTTGTGGTAGTTGAGCCATCAAGCAGCAAGTTAGGATTTCACTGATATGATTGCTTTAGCGCGAGTATTCATCAAACTGCACAAACTCCCTTGCTCACCTGTTGGGATTCATTTCTGGTCCATAAGCGAAGTAATACAACTGCCCCTCTGGGGGTTTAGCATTAATACTGAAGCAAAGAGGTGGAAATGGAGCAATGGGCTTCTTCTTTGTATCATATCTAACGCAAAAATTTGAAAAAGAAAAGGTTCGGTCACCATTTTAAAAGTGAGGCAATATGAAGAAAGTAGTACATGGGGTATGCGATATATCTGATGACTGTAACAATAGATACAGTACACTGTGGTGTAATCCTTTTACCCCCATGAGTGACCAACATCTAGATTCCCCTAAATTATACTACCAAGCAGACACGTTAAAAGATTGTGAAGTATCAACACAAAGACAATTTTGGAATGTGACGCTTCTTTCTCAGGAGTAGAGGCGCAACACTGTTATCCTAACAGCCTTCTTTTACGGGAGCTCTTATAATGAATTTCAGTAGACACAGAATACTTTGGAAAATTTGTGTGATACTGAATAAGACTATAGTATGTGCAAACCTTGACTCGGACAGAGTCATCAATACTTTGGAAAATTTGTGTGATACTGAATAAGACTATAGTATGTGCAAACCTTGACTCGGACAGAGTCATCAATACTTTGGAAAATTTGTGTGATACTGAATAAGACTATAGTATGTGCAAACCTTGACTCGGACAGAGTCATCGTTTTCGCAACCACTTCCAAATCTGTGGAATCATTGGCAAAGTCTTCAACAAGGCCAGCATTAACGCCATCATCATCGTCATCACTGACACTATCAGTGCAGTCATCAAGCTCGTCATAACGTTGTCCGTCAGTCACAGTACACAAGTTCTCATTACTTGAACTCCACCCCAATTCAGAGCTGTAATTACTTTTATCGATAGTACGACCATAAGCAGATGAACCAGTCGCACAAGACATCGTTTCCACGCCAGAACTGCTGTCGTCCCAATCGTTAAAACCTCTAGATTCACTTTTATCTTCCATCGTCACAAACACACTTGTTGGGGAACTTCGAGGCGATTTTTTGCCGTTCGAGCTTTTATCCGGCTTCTCGCTAAAAAGTGGAGTCTTTTCCATGGAAGACTTGCCACGACACATTTCTACAAATTCTTTTCCAAGTTTATTAGCAGATGCCATATCAGCTAAACCATTTCTATCGCTATCTTTGCCTGTAATTTCTTTTGCTACCAAAGTCATGCTGCTAGGCGGTGGAAGTCCCTTTTTCACCGGGGCACTCGCACTCCTATCTCGTTTCTGCTCGTCCAATATTTTTTTGTACTGCTCAGTGAAATAACCCGGTAACTTCTCCCTCGCAGACTTTGTCAAGTCATCAGTTTTTCTACTTGTCATGGAAGTAACAGTGTTCGAATTTTCTACCTTACGTAAATTTTTATCGTTCTCCCTTCTTTTTCCTACTCGTTTACCTGACGGTGGTCTCGGTTCTCTTAGAGCACCAGCCGTATGTCTCATGTAACCAGCAGACTGCACCCTTCTTACTTTGGGTCGCTCATTTCGAGGATTCCGAGGCTTCATTGCAGAAGTGCTAAGATTCAAAGAGTCAAGTACTTTTAGAATGTCCGCCGAAGGTATCCTGTCAGAATCTAAGGTATCGCCATCCAGGTATTCATCATCATCGTTGTTAGATCGGTCAAGCGTTCCCACGCATGTACTTCCATTTCCAGAGATTACCCTTATATGAACGTCAATTATTTTATCAGGATCTAAACCTGAACGGTTGTTAAAAGACTCTTCAGCTCCTGGCTTACGGGATACTGGTTTCAATTCTGGATGAAGCCTGTCAGTGGTCTTCTGGCATGACTTGATCATTGAAGAGTCAACAGAGAATTCATTCTGAAGCTCACAACTTGAAGTTCGCTTGGATTCCCTGCCACCACACGTTGTTAACTGTGTTTGTTTCCCTTGTGAAGTACTAGTTTTCCCCCCGCTTGCCTTCCGGACACTATCAGAGTTGTTATTTCGCCCTCTCTCAAACTCATAGCTACGATTAGCTGGTAGAAGATTCTGTCGTGCCCATCGGCCTTCGTCTTCATCGCTGTCGTCTGGGTGCTCTTTTTTACTGTCATCAAAATGAGGTTTACAACCACTTGCAAGAGTTTTGTTCTCTGTTAAAAGGCAAAGGAGCTTCTCTTTAGTTTCATTCTCATCCTGGTTGAATCTCGCCACTTGTTCAGCTTGATTATCTACATCAATGCTGTCATCACTCAGTTCATCTTCAGAAAAACTAAAATCACAGCGGCTGTTACTTTCGTTGACAGAAGATGCATAGGAAGTGTTATGAATGGAACTTTCTGGGCGCAGTAACTGACTCGGGCTTCCCGGTCGTACAGCAGCCGATAATGCTGTCTCCGAAGTTGAGAACACTCTTGAGGACTTGACACGCTCTAGTGAAGGGCTGGTCCGCCTTCTTGCAAAACCATGATACCTTCGTGTACCTGAAGACGAAATAAGATAACAGAGGTAAAATTACAACCCGCATGTGTGCGAAGGCACACGATTAAACCTACAGCGATAGACATAGAGCAGAACGAGCAAGCGAGTAGTAACACAAGTCTGCTCTTTTACGCGCGTGTAGCTCATGTTTTCAACACCCCGTCCAGGACAAAAACTAAAATTGTACAATCATATTTTTATTTGTTGTCTCCTATTGAGTGCACACGTGCCCATGCACTCGTGGTGGCATTGAAGAGCGGGTACTAACGAGTGTGTCTGGGCGCAGTCGTACGCAGAATATAAAGAGACAAACTACGACATTTATGCTGTATGAAAGATCTGCTTATTTCCATCTATTAGTAAGCTAAGGGCCACTTTGACCATGCACAGACTTACCAGCCAAAATTCCTTGACAATTGTTTACGAGAGGATCAGAAGCCGTCACAGGTCGCCCAAGTGCCTTAAGGCGACCTCTCTGTAACTGGGCTGGAGGAAGAATCATATTTCTTGTTCGTTTTGTCCTTTCCAGCTGCTTCTTGATCTTTGCAACTCCAGCAGTGGTCCGCTGCTTCAACTGAAGACTAGGATCAATGACCTGCACATAATTAAAAAGCATAAGCTTTTTTATTTGTGTGTCCCAATACCACATACACAACAGAAAGGTACTTATCACCTGAATTCCAGGGATGTCAGACCAAGATGTCATTCAGAAAGAAAGAGAGGATGGTTGGGGGGTGGCGGGGGGGAGAGGAGGGGAGGAAGGGAATGAATATTAAAGTTATTCCTCTGAGACACCGACTAGATTTGAAGAACAATGTACAGAGCATGCATTTCTTGGGTTACAAAACCTAAAAGATTTAAAATGGAAGCTATTCGTGGCTTTGAATTTAAAGTTGCCTAACCCAAATGTATGCTAAAACTGAGATACAGAACAGTCATTTAGTTCTAGCATTATTAGAGTCTTAGGATTTGACTCTACATTACCAGTTACTTGTTAAATCATTCTCTGACCAAAACATTACCAAAACGGGTCCTTTCACATCTTTCTCTGGCCCTTGTTTAAAAGGAGAGGTGATGTAAAAATTTCCTTTTGGGATCTGCACTCTACTATGTATGGTTCTGTTTCTAAAGGTGGGTGCACTTGTTGGTAACCTGGATGGATCTCTTTCACTTTCAGCAACTAATGAAGAATCTTCTGTCAAATTAAAAAGCAGCATTAACTTTCAGTACCACCCAAATGTAACATACAATTGTTATGTGAGAGGCATCTTTTTTTATGCTTGAGACCTTTCTATTTAGAAGGAGTGTCATTTATTGCAAGAGGCCATTTTTAAACATGTAGGTTTTAAAAACAAAAAAAGTATTCTGTAACAAATTGAACCACTGGAACAACCAGTTGGAAGTGTCAATCTGTACAGTCACTAACAAGAACTGTAACTTAAAGTGGTAAAAGTTCAGACTTAAATTTAAGAATAAAAAGTAGAATTATCAGTAAACTTTATTACAGAACTTTAACTTAAAATTGAAAAATAAAGTGAAGTTGAAAATGCCCATGGATCTAGATGAATCCAATGTTCAAAGGCCCTGAACACAACTTTCAGCAAAATGTTACAAAACAGCTAAACATTGTACTCTCTTACCTAGGCTAAGTTCTGAAAATCTGGTGTCTATGCTCAAGTGCTTTCCTGGTTGCTGAAAAGTTTAAAGACACCAGTAGTTAGGCTTTGAATTAGAGAAAACCTAGTGGGGTTTGTCACTAATTTGATGCAAAGGGGATATACTGCCAGGGATTAAAAACAATTGGAGTTAATTCGCAACTGCTGCATTGTGTTCCCGAATTGTATGCTACCAAATAAATGCTTGTCCAATTATCAAAAAGATCAGTCTATCCTTTTTGGAATCTTCAAATATTGACAGATGTACAACTATAGATAGATTTTATATAAAATAAGGAAATTTTCTCTCAATGGTTCAGCCTGACAGTAACAAACATTACTACAGAAATCTATAGAACTTCATATTGCTGTAGGTATTTATGGGTTATAATTAGAAAATCAATTTTCCGACTGCTTCGTTTTTCCATTAATTAACCCACAAAAAAACAGTAACACTAGTTCATCAAGGCTCAACTGACCCAGGTCCAATTTGAAACAAAGGTGTTGATAAATATTGTTTAATTCCTAAGTGAGAAAGGGGTAAAATATCATGGCTGAGGGGGAGGGGGGTCACAGCCTCCCACTTCCTTTACCATGTTCTCCTGCTTCCTGAACTTTTGAGGCCGTTGGCTTCCCTTCATCATTTTACCACCATCTTTAGGTTGATAAAAAGGATCAAAAACCTGGGTTTAGCTTGCAAGCTGTGACAAAACATGTCATTCTTGAACTTTCTCTAGTGTTGCATTTTTTTTCTTTTTTTTTTTTTGGGAAGGGGGAAAGAAGAGAATATGTAATTCCCTCAAGATGAACATTATTACAGGCCAGTTTTCACTAAGTTTTCACTAACCTGGTTATCACAATAGCTTCTGATTATCTCACAACAGAGACCGTGTAAGTCCAGTGTGCAATTTGATAGCTAATGCAGTTTCAAATATATTCACATGCATCTAGGAATCCATAAATTACTGGAATTTTGCCATTTAGAAATGAAATTAAAAGGCCAAACATATCACTTAGAGTTTTGTACTCCTATCTTGTTTGGCCCTGCTTCTAATTTAACTAATTGCATATCCATCGTGTTTAATTCTTCCCTCTTTGTCAGAAGTAGCTATAATCATGAGCTACATAAAAGCTGGCTTCAATGAACAATTCATGTCACTGAGCATTCAGTTTCAGCTCTGGTAGAGCATTATTGTCGTTCAGCTAGTTATCACATTACAAAAACTATTCAGATTTCTTCGAAAAATCTTGTTTGAACCTCTGGGAAAACGTCTAAAAGTTGTACATGCATTCTTTGATACATTTATTCACCAGTATGATGCAGCTGAAGGCATTTGCAAAAACAATGTCTTCTACAGACTGATTTCTGAATACCACACGAATCGCTCCGACGAAGGGCTAACGCTCGAAACGTCAGCTTTTATAACCGTAACGGTGGCCAATTTACTATTTCAACTTTGTTGATATATTCAAATTAATAATGCAACACTACCGTTTCCTCAGAACTCACGTCTTCGATTATTTCCGGGAATCACACTTTCAATTATACAGTGTGTAGGCAATGTAGTCATGATATTTCATGTCAAAACAAATAAGGCGTATCCACATAATAACCTCTCCTTCTTTACTGCTTAAACTTTTTGCTAGCATCATGCAAGTGAACTGGTGCGAATACTGCAGTCCACTTCACTGGATAGCAACTGTCGCGTTTTATTTCAAACGATAATGATAAGTTACCTGATGGTTTGTACCCCTTGGAGGCCTGACGTCAAAATCGATATCATGGTCTTTCAGTTCTTGTCTGCATCTCTCTGTTACAGCGAAGCTTCTTGTACTTGACGCAACCGACTTTCTCGGAATCTTAGTTGAGCGAAGGTCGTCATTCAGACTGGTTGCATCCATCCACTTAGACTTTTCAAGACCCGCTGTTCATCAAAATATCAAATTTATGATTAGAGATCAGACAATTTTCAAACCTTGACATCACCATATTTCCATGGATTCAGACGCCATTTTAATAATTCCCGCCTTACAAAGCATCATGGAAGTAAATACTGATAAGCACTATGGGAAATTCAATATGGCGGAAGACACGTTTAGACGGCCTTGCCAAAGTGGTAAAGATTCCTACCTTTTTGATTTAGCCGGAGACAATGTTAAATGGAAAACAATATCTCTCACTCACGTGGAATACCCAGAAGGTAGTGACATAAAATTTTGGACCCCTGCCGGGTTTTTTAAGCATCATCAACCCGCTACTGAATTTGCTGCAAGCCTGTAGATCGAAGTTTGCTATCTCAGATGTAGTACGGTTTTATAAGCCTACAAGGTGAAACAAGCTCTTCTCTTTTTCCTTGTATGTTACAGGAGACATAACGGGGAAGATCTTGGCATGGTGTAGTCTGCTTCCTATATTTATCGTAGTTGGTTTTATTACTTTAATCATTTTCCGACGAGATGTACACACGGTAGGTTGGTTTATTTTCAATGTAAATGTATGGGGCAAGAGTTCCTTATAACCCCATATATTATTTATGCATAGAGTATTGCAAAGAAACCTTTGTATTTAGTCTTTATGAAATGAATACATAATTAATGTAAGGGGTTTTACGGAACTCTTTCCCATATATGGACTGTGATTGAAATCTGGAAGAGTGGTTCTCTTTGATTGAAAGTGTCATGTCACGTCTTTATTTAAAGTGTTTTACTCTTAAACTTACAGCTCATGAGTAAACCAGTACAATACCCTTTTTACAGCCTAGGAGGTACATATTTTATCTTTCTGGTTTGCATTGCTGTTAAACCCCTATCAGTAAATTCTTGTTTGTCATAGGGTAAAATTTCTTGACAATGATGCTTATTTGTGTGACACACATCAGTACCACATATGGTTTCCTGTAATCGTTATGTTTAGACAGAAATGGAGAGATATTTACTATTCATTTAGTCAAGTTTTGAAAAAGGTACTGTGTATCAATATCCCTTGTGAAGATGCAAATCCCTGCAAATTCAGAAGTTACAACTTTAAAGGCAGAGGCATAGCTATGACCCCCCTCCTCCCTTTGCAAGCCTTTTTTAATCAAATGACTTACAATATTCAGGTGGCAAATACTGGTGAGAACCCTCTGTTTGACACAGTGGCCACAACCTTGAAAGGTTCTGTTTGATAAGCTACACACTCCATCCCGCAAGTCCTAAATCACTTATGTCAAAATGAGACAAGCATCCTGTTCTTAGCTTACATCCAAAATATCAAAAGCAGACAGTTGAGAAGTTCCCCTGTGATAAAATAATAAGATAAAATAATGTATAATTAGACTCAGTGCTCTATTTTCAAAAGATGTGAACTACTTTTTATGAACAATGGGATTTGAAATTTCTTAGTCCTTAACAAGACTCCAACTCCACGCATGCCAGATACTAAATTACCAAGCTTTAAAGAATTCAATGGTTTGAATGTTTTTGTATGTACTAAATACATAAACATGTAATTTATATTATGATTGTGTGCAAATAATTATGAGTCATTTTAGGCAAAATTTTCAGTCTGTTTTCCTTGAAGTATCATCTTGTGTTTGAATTTTACTTACTACGTTTCTTTGCATTGACAGAGAGGGTTCTTCTGTTGCAGATGACTTTCTTCGGAGGAATTTTAGTGAATGAACTTGTAAACATGGTGGTGAAACACAGTTTAGCATATCCTAGACTATGTGGGGGTCATGTGTTCTCACATTCTGGACATGCAATGCCATCAGATCATGCTCAGTTTATGGCTTTCTTTGCTGCGTATTCTGTCCTGTTTATATATGTAAGGTAAGCAAATACTTGAGGTCAGACTGAAATAACCAAATTTTGTGTTCCAAATGAGATTTGTAATGGAAAACTTGAAGTTACTGTCTACATACACATGTAATGCTGTTCCTACAAGAAAACAGCAGCTACTGTAACTGCAAGAAAACCAGCATGGATTTGACCCTTAGAAAGTATCCATGAGTTATAGTGTAAATAACCAAAAGACTCAGGTTTCTATTTGGTAGATATTACAAGGCTACATGGTGTAGCAGTGCCAGTGGCCCCTGGGGCCTTACTTTTGCTCTTTGGTGACTCAGGAATGTTAGGTTTTTCATAAAAAACATTTGCTGGGCACCCTGGATTTCACAGTTTCAGAGCACTGGGCTCCATTCAATTTTTCTTTAGAGCACAGCCTTGTATTAATCACCATCTTAAAGGCTGGTCTTGTATCAAAGCCTTGATTGTTATACTTCATTCTATTCACAAACAAGTGATGATTTATTCTTTTATTTTCAGGCTTCTGCATTTTTCTCAGGCAACCACAGTATGGGATGATTTAATAGACAATGTATGGCGGCATATACTAGCAGTTGGTGTAGTATTAGCTGCTGTCGCTGTTGGATTTAGTAGGTTGGTGGCAGTTTGTTGGTCATTTTCACAAGGTGTTCATTACTGCCAGGATGTTTGACTTTAACTATTCGTAACAAGAATGACAAGCAGTGATTTTTGAATACCAAAGAACAAGACTAAGAGGAAAAATCTGCTCATAAGGAGTAGCCCATATTGCAGCTGCTTTAATCTTAGTTTCTTCAACTTTGAGTAATTGGGGATCTAGCTACTCACCTCAGAAGAGATGCCAGTCACTGCAGGTTACCCTCCCCCCAGTAGGAGGGCCCCTGTTAAGAGTCAGTGGCAGCTTGTTTTTACTGGCTGTTCAAGGGACTGTTGTCTGTAATTTCACAGAAATGTTAACAAAATAATTCTCCAATGGATGTTGTTTTGTTCACATGTGACAACCCATTCCATTCAATTTAAAATCTTAGTTGTCTTCTTCCAATCACAGACCCCAGAAACCTAAGAACACAACACAATGTTACACCAAGGGCTCAATGGTCAGTGCTTTCAATAAGATTTGAAATAGGTGGCTACCTTAGTACAGCACCCGCTGGAGAGCAACTTGAGTGTAACTTGAGTGTGCTGACCACAACTTGAGCATGGTGAAATATACCCAGCGACTCACAACAGAATACCCGCCAGAGCTCCGGCGGGTGCCGGGTCTTATTTAAAGCACTGATGGTAGACCTTTTGATCCAGAGCTCCACTTACAAAATAGATAAGTGATGCAATCATTCACCAGTAGCAATTAAGCAGTTAGTGGAAAATGAAATGGAAAATCAGTATAGTATATCTTTACTTTTACTTGTAATTTATAACATATTTGCCTTGGCAGTAGTGATTTGTGACAGCCTTTTCATGTTTGAGGTAAATTCCACCTATTCAAACTATTCATGAAATGAAAGTGAAATGTGAACAAACGCAACTTAAGGCAAGCCAGCCAACTTGTAACAGACGACAGATATGTGAACAAAAACAGTAATTCAATCCAAGTATTTGAAATATTCAACTGCAGTGGACACTTTTCATATAAGTTGTGTTGGACATGCAACATTTTTCTGCGATAAAAACTTGCTTATTACCACTAATAATTGATGTACAGTAAGTACTTCTGCCCTCTTTTACAAAAAACTCTGCATGTAAAATTTTACATGCGCTATGAAGAATTTTACTACACACATTTTCATGTAATTCTTTCACCCACAAGTGACAGGCATGTAATTTGCATGTAAATTGCACGCAGTATTGTGGATTTACATGCATGAAACACGCATATAATGCTGCTATTCCTATGGCTGGTACTGTATATTGCCACTGTGTCTCAGGATAAAATGTAATGGGCATTAGATAAAATCAGTAAAATGTACCAGTACTCAACACTCAAATAATTGTATTTAAACACTGGCAATCTGTGTCACAACAATGCAAACCATTGGTACTTGCAGTGCACTTGCAAGAAAATGAGAAAAGATTTGAATGAAACAAGACACGTCTTGATAGAAACAAGGTGCATCTGGAGAGAAACAAGACATCTTGAGATGGCAAGATATCGGAAATTTTTTCACTGGCAATCAGATTCATTGTGATCAATGAATAAAATTGCCAAGTGAATCACAGCTTGAACTTGTAGTTCTAGGCCCAGTTTTTTTGAAGGTTGATTAACCCTAACCTTGGGTTAAATTCTAGTCCGGGTTTACTTATTCCTTTGTTTAAAGATCCTACTTTGGATAATTTTCTCTACTCTTTTGAGGGCATAATTTGGATATATCGTCAAAGTTGAAAATGGTGAATTGGCCACCGTAACGATTACAAAAACTGACGTTTCGAGCGATAGCCCTTCGCTCCAACGAAGTGCTAATGCTCGAAACATCAACCTTTGTAATCGTTATGGTGGCCAATTTACCATTTCAACTTTGTTGATATATCCAAATTATTTCGTTACTCCCACAGACGCAGCCCCAAACAGTTTCTTTCGAAACTATCAGCCTTTATTCTTTTGAGGGCATCCTATCACCATTTATAAACTTAAATAATTGTATAGAATTTTTTTTAAAAGCTTACAGATTTGAAATCAGATTTCACACTCAACCTGAGTTATCTTAACCTACCTTTAACCTACCTCTGTATTTTTTTCACAGGGTATACCTCAGATACCACACCCCACAGCAAGTGGGTTATGGCTTCCTGCTGGGATGTGGATTGGGTATTGCTTGGTTTTTTTTCACACAGACAGTTCTCACACCAATCTTTCCAACAATAACAACCTGGTAAGTGATAATTTTGTAACACTGATTACAAGTAGCTTAGTACATTAATTTTAGTTGCAGGAGTCAATTCTCAATCTCTTTTGACTTCTAATCTGTAGAACAAATTCTTGTAGACATTTTGTTCCCTGACATCAAGTTGGAGCTGCAACACATAAGATTTTGAATGCAAAGGTTCTGTTCTTAGAGAAGATGTAATAATCTTTACTGATTCATCTATGTAAATTCAAGTTCAAATGATGTTGGGAAATGGTCCAAAAGTACTATTAATCTGATTGCTTTTATAGTAAATGTATATAAGTATATATTTAAACATTTGGTTCAGTTTAGAAGGCCAAAACATAACCAAGAGAGACATGGTTTTTAGAGAGTTTGCTGTTTGTAATGTAACTCTCTTTTAACAGGCCTATCTGTGAATACCTTATGATCCGTGATTCAACACTGATCCCATCAGTCATGTGGTTTGAATATACACAGTCAAGAACAGAAATGAAGTAAGTTCAATTTATATGCACATTTCAACTTTGGCTCAAAATCCATAAAATGTAGGTGTCTGTGACTTCTAACACAACAGTGGTGTGTTGTGTCAACAGTCACCATCTTTTGATAAGAGTATAAATGAATAAATTATAAGTAATTGTCAAATAATATCAAATAGCTTTATTCTTTTTTTTCATTGATAATCACAATGTTTTTCTTTCCAAGCAAATTAAGATTTTATATATACACATTGTTTCTGAATTAAACAAGTCTCTAAGATGGTACATGTCTACTTCCTTTTTTCGCCCAAAAACAAAATGCTCATATCTCATGCACTGATCAATTCAAAGCTTCAACACTTCTGCCCCCCAGGGCATTTGACTCTTGTCCATGCCCCTAGCTGGGGAATTTAAACCTTTCCTGGGTGGGTTGGGGAATTTGAACCTGTGGAATTCTTGTGTTTGAAATTTATATATGGAGGAGTTAAAAGGCAAAGACTCTCCTGACATGATGAACTGACTTAGAAGAAAATTTTCACTTAAGTAGAATGATGTTACAAGCTAAATTTTACAACATTCATTGATCACTTCAAAGAATTGTTCAAAAAAAAGTTATGCTTGACTGGGGCATTTGGAAATTATTTTGGCCTGCAAGGGCAAGCATATGGACAAACCAATCTTCAAAAGTTCAAATACCGGTAGGGTTGTGAGGTGGAGGGATGACACATTTGGATCTAGACTTGATACCTGTACAATTGCAGTTTGCCCTTTGTTGAAGTGATGGGGCTACATAGCAGATTACATTTATTTTATTTCTTTCTGTTTCTTCTCTTTTTAGAAAACGACAGAGGAGAGGCTCACACAATAATTATTTTAAGTCTCATACTTCTTGAAAAGGGAGATGAGATCTCTACAAGTTTGTGCTCTAGAAAACATTCAAGTGTTGTTTATCTCCTCGAGAATGAAGGGAGATGCACGAGATGCCTCTCTTTATCAATAATTAATAGTTATCAATCCTCAGGAAATCCCAATGATCAATTAATTAATTGTGCTTATCTTTCCAATTCTGTGGTACCCTGCCTGTGGAAGACACTCACTTAGTGGAGACCAAAGAAAAGACAGGGCAAGTGAGAGAAAAAAGATGGGGGATTCAACAAAAAAAGTCTTTTTTTTTTTTTTACCTTACCCCTTTCCATTTTCCCTTGCCTGCTTTTATGTTGGTCTACATCTGACCAAGAGCCAATTACAAGCTTTATTATTGTCATAATTATCATTTCTGTAGTGCAGAGTACCAATACAGTGAGGTGTGAATGATTTGTTCAGTAGTATATACCTTCATTTTAATATAGACAAAAAGAAGAGTAGAAATTATATTGGTGGCCTAGGGAGGTATTGTTCCCTTAATTTTAAATAGTAGAAAATACAAAAAATTTTTCCGAGAGAAAAAAGTTCCCATTTTTTTTTTTATTTTGGAAGGGGAGTGTTTAGCTCTGTATTTCGGGGGTAGCTAGTGTAGGTTAATCGTTTTCATAAAGAATTTAAAGAAAAGGGCGTAGGTGTAACCTGCATGGTATTGAAAATTTTCGTATTTCGTTACTTTTAGCCTGGGATTTTTTGTGATTTAGATTTTAATTTAAACGGATTTTGGGTCCACTTTACAAAAAATTGGTTTTCTTTTGGAGCAATCCACGACTTTGTATGGACCTCCTTGTTGCCTTAAATTGGAAGCATCGACCTTCTACTTTGAAGGGAATAAGTGGTCTCCTAGAGAAAAAATATGTATTTACTTTTTATTTGCTTTGCAAATATGGAATAGTTCTATTTTTGATGAAAATAAGACATACCAAACACTTGAGCCAATATTGTATGTTAGTTAAGAGCTTTGGGTACTATCAAGTTTTATTTGAATGGTTTTGTTGATGTTGGTATGTCCTGCAGCTTAAAGATTGAAATGAGTCGAAGTAACCTAAGTTGTATCTTCTTGACTTCGATTATGCCGTGAGCGTTTATTTTTGAGTCATTTATTTTTGTCAAATGAAAATCACAATCAACAACCAAACAAAAATTCTAGCATTAAATATTTTATCTTGAGAAATTTTACAGGTTGTGACTTCACTGCTCTATCCAAGTTAAAGAGTTGAGGAAAAATGTTTCTTGTCTCCACGGATTCATGATTTCCTGCCAGTCTACCCAACCAACAGTGTTACATTGACGCAGTTTCATGCCTAAGGGGAGTTGCTAGGCACGAAAATAGCGTGTCGCTTCGAGCGGATACGCTATTTTCGATTCCGGAGTGCCTGGCAAACCTCTTAAGCGCATCCACAACTCAATAGTGTACGCTGTAGTGTTAACAGTTTTTTTAGAACATAACATCGATACACTGTAGCATAAGAGTTTCCTTTTACTGAACCAAAATGTCCAGTAGCCTTACATGGGCAGAAAAAACAAGCGCGCGAAAACTAGGCATTGTACCACTTGCCGCGCGTGTTCACTCGTCGAATCAATGGAAGGCAAATGTTATCACGTTTACTAAAATTAATGAAAAAGCTCTTTCTGGGCTTTGTATCTCTAAACAATCGGTGCAATTGCTCAATCATGAGCAAAGTGTCAGACGAAAGTAAAAAACCGTCCTTTAATGCCATTTGGAATTGGCCTGAATTTCGGAGGAAGAACTGTTGAAAACATTTCGCACGTTTTGAATATTGCGGTTGCCAAACAGCGATTTCGGTGACTCTTGTTTGGTCTGGAACGACACGGATTGTTGGAAACTTCTGACGGCTGGCAGTGGCTGTTGACTGGCAGTGGCTGTCGACTGGCAGTGGCTGTTGGTGGAGGAAGTAAAGGTTCTCTGTCTCAACAAGACTTGGCTGTAGTTGTGGAGCGGGGAGGTCAAAGGCTGTAGCTCACTAGGACTTCTCACCGTGGTGTCCTGAAATGGCCTCTATGTAGCGGTTTGAAATCCCGCGTTGGACCCGAGAGTGATGGCATTAGCGTGTTGATATTTTAACAACAATCTTTGTGTGGCTGTGTATTCTGAGCGGTCGTGCTTCGGAGCGGTCTTGCTTCTTACCAAACTGCATCTTCGGTCGTGCTGTTTTTCTTCGGATACTGACAAAAGGCAGAGCACTTTGGATCGACTATCTGCAGGACGGCGTAGCCGTCACCTTGATCTTGGGTTTCATACTTTATTGCTTCTTTTTCTCTGCTTTCTGCATCGTTCAATCCTCCCGGATGATTCTTTGATATAAAATCGTGGCTCATTGTTTTTCAGCCGCATCGATTTCAGACTTTAAGCTCTTCGTTGTCAAGCTTCTTTGACATTCATGGCCCATTCGGCAAAGGAAAAAGACAACATGAACCAAACGTTCCTCCGCAGGGAACATATTGAGACAAGGAAAAAACTTCGCTAGATTTCAGGTTCTGGAGGTCTTCTTCCTCGATAGCAACTTGTGTGAGACATTTTTTTTTGCCACTTCGCTAAAGGAATTTTATTTGTGAATCTAGCATCAAGTTTGATTTTGAAAATCTTGGATCAGTCGAAATTCTTAGTCCTCCGTTTTAAAGGAGGAGCATTGAGGTATCTTTCGATTGTGTTACGAAATCCCAGTGAGGTAGATTTGCTGTAATCTTCGCCCTTTTTCGTTCTGGCTTCTGCATAGAACCTGCGTAGATTTTGATCTAGATGGCCAATTTTCTTTGCCTCAGGCGGGGTTTGAATTAACAAATGGTAAACACCACAGCGTGCAGCTTGTACTATTGAGTTATGGATACATGCGAGAGGTTGCTAAGCACGAAAGAAATGTAAGAGTCGCGCGAGGCCATAGCCGAGAGCGACTCTAGCTTCTTGAAGTGCATTCATAAGTCAAAAATGTTCACTGTTGCGTTTACCATTTGTTTCATAACATAACATTGATACATTGTAGCAAAAGAGTTTTCTTTTATTTAACAAATCTAAAGTGACCAGAAAAACAACCGCGCGCGGAAAACTAGTCTTTGCATTTGCTCACGTCAGCAGCCTGCACCCATGGGCAAATGGTGGACGCTGAATTCACCAAGCAGAGCGCGTGCTTTACTTTGGTTATATTATAACATTAAACGGGGTTCCACGGTTGCAAACATTTTGCTTTGTAGCAAAAGCTTCAACAACTCATTTCGTCAATTTTAGCGCCATTAAAAGCCTATTAAAATGGACGAGGTTATCGCTGAGAGCTGCTTTTTACGTATTGTGATTCCCAATTTGTGATTTCTTTCGTCTCTTTTGAGTGCTGTTAGCCAACAAGTTCGTTAAGCTCGCTTTCGATTAAACTTGCAAATTTCTTTGCAGTGGCTCAGGAAATGGGGCATTTCTGGGGCATTTCTGTCTCATTTTCCGACAACTGCGAAGACATTTCCGCATTTCTGGCAAAAGAGACTTCTATCATTATTTCCTTTAAGAGACAATTGTATGCGAAACATCTGTTGACCTGGAAAAGTTTTCTCACGTCAGCAGCGTACACCCATGGGTAGATAGTGAACACTGAATTTACCATTGTAACATAATACCTGTTTTAATTTTAAAAGGTTCTTTTCTTTTGCAGCATCTTTAATTTTGAGTGGTCAGGTTTTGAAGAACAGCTGCTTCTAGTAAGACCTTCCCATTGGTTAGATCTGAGTGTACGTGGAGAGGAAACATGAAACTGAGATATGTTAAACAATATAATGCACTTTTGGGTGTTTAGCAAGCTGAAGTTCTACGGCGACAGACTGAATTTTCCAATCAATTTTGTTTAACTACCTTACCAACTCGGAGATCATGAATACTTTGTGCGCCGTTATTTCAATAGCTGTGCTAAATTCGGTTTCAGCGTGTATTGATGGTAAGTTTTCTCATTGATGTCCCAGTTTGGTGAAGTTTGTTTAATATGCTAGAGAAATTGGTTTCGTCTTTTGTAAGATGTTCAGTCAGGCAGCATTATCTCGTCCCTAGGTCATGTAAGTTATTATAAAGTAATATCTTTGTCCGCAGTCTGGGTCTATGTTTTATATAAGTCTCACCCTCCCAACTCTCTTAAGCATCAGATCACTTGACAATGCCTTATTATTTATTATTATTATTTTTTTTTTCATTTTGCATCGATCGTTTGCGTGATGTGCGAAACATTTCACTTAATATTAAAGGCTTTGGCGTGCCTTTTTTAATTAATTTTTTATCTGCGCAAAAAATAACGGAGTTCCAAATGAAATTTGAATGAGTGAGTTTTCAGTGATCTAGAAGCTTACCGAATGCATTGTTAAACCATATGATAGGTCATATACGTTATTGATGAAGGTGGACATCTGTCTAACGGGTGGTCTGACATATAAACTTCTTTCTTTTTCTATGTATATTTATGAGCGTATATTTTGTTATGCAAACGAAAACGCTTTAAAGCAAGCTGAGAATAGTTTCCACTCAGATTTTGTTGGATCAATTGTGACGTAACTGAAGGCTTCAACGACTGCCTTACAGGCAACTGCCGTATAATGGAATTCCCAAGTAACCTTTCCAGCTTTGGAAAACGCTTGATTAGTCACGTGATAAAAACAATACCGGAAATGGACAAGGACTCGTGTGAATGGCAGTGTTACCTGGATCACAACTGCGTCAGCATAAACTTACAGTTTGAAGGAACACAACGAAACTGCGAGTTGAATAATTCGACTTATAGTGAGCATCACGAGGATTTTAAAACAGCAGATGATTACTTTTATCGCGGAACAGAAGTGAGTCTATGTTCCTATAGTTTGTACTTTACTTATCAGTTTTCAGTTGATGTAACAATAACCAAGTTTCAAGATGTCAGTGCTCGTTGGATTGTGACAGGCAAAAAGATGTTTCATAACAAAGGAGAGTGTCCAATCTCCCCTCCGCTGGGCTACTTACCTATCAAATGGCTTACAAGGGAGGGTGCAATCAGAGCGGCCTCAAGCGCAGCCTTCCCTCGGGAGGCTTTCAATCATTGACGTTCTCAAGGGAATTTACAGAAAATTGGTTAATTAAGTGCATGTATATTCTTCCAGTTTCTAAGACCACAGAAATTATTCATAAATGAGAGGCTTCCTTTCAAGACTTTGCACCATGTAGGGCTGTCTTCTGCAGAATGTGGGATAAACTTACACCATTCTTTAAAACGTGTTTTAAAGTCAGACGTGTAAATCAAATGAGGCCAGGTATGCGACATTAATTTAGTTTTTTTTTTTTGTTCGGAGTTTGTTTCCGGAATTCATTTGATTACTTTTTTTTTTAGCCTAAAACCTCTACTAACTTCAGTTGAAGAAATTTATTATAACGAAGTCAAGGAAGCAGTTTGCTAATTGTCTTTTTATCATGGGTATTATACAATGAAACCTGATGTCTCTCTATCCATGAAAAATCGCGTGCTTCACTTTATTTTTCCCAGAACGCTTGCGGTGGTTCACCCTGCAAGAACAAGGGAACTTGTCAATCTGGTTTTACAAGCAAAAAATTTCGCTGCTTATGCACTTTCGGATTTACAGGCCATGACTGTGGAGGTAAATGAAAAAGAGCTGGTTAGTTGAGTTCTTACTATTGCTTTAATCTAAATTACGCAGGATAGATGAATTGGCGAGCTCTTCAAATAATAGTAACGTAGTTGGAGTGTTGTTCTCCCATCCAAAGTGGTAAACCGCCAGAGAGTGCTTTTTTTTACTTTTCAGTTGTTTGTATAATTTGAGCGAGCTCGGTGTCTACGACATTTATACTCTTGGAGTTGTTGTCGTACGGTGGCATCATTTCACAAACCACAAAATCGTAAACAGACAAGTGCACATAGGATCGAAAGATAACACGAAATGACTTTTGCAAACACCAGCATACCCCTTTACATTTTGTGTACGCACTGTTTTCAATATATCTGGGACCCGAAAACCCAAAAAATTAAAAAGAAATGCTTATGAAAAGCTTTTCGAGGGGTCAAACATTGAAGTGTATCGTGAAAGACTTGCTCGTAATACAAAACGCATTATTCCGCAGTTTTCAGTAGGTTCTAACCAAGTTTCTTTTGTATGACATTTTTCTTGATCTGAACCTTGAAGCTATTTATCCCTGTATAAAGGATGAAAAAAAAACTATTTCGCCATTGAAAGTGGCGGTGAATTTTGCAGAAGAATCTAGAGTCGACAACAAATCGTGTAAAAAAAACTACTAAATCAACTTGTCTCTCAAAGATATCGATGAGTGCTCTCAAGTCAACAACTGCAGTGAATATGCTCATTGTCNTGTCTTTTTATCATGGGTATTATACAATGAAACCTGATGTCTCTCTATCCATGAAAAATCGCGTGCTTCACTTTATTTTTCCCAGAACGCTTGCGGTGGTTCACCCTGCAAGAACAAGGGAACTTGTCAATCTGGTTTTACAAGCAAAAAATTTCGCTGCTTATGCACTTTCGGATTTACAGGCCATGACTGTGGAAAAGGTAAATGAAAAAGAGCTGGTTAGTTGAGTTCTTACTATTGCTTTAATCTAAATTACGCAGGATAGATGAATTGGCGAGTTCTGCAAATAATAGTAACGTAGTTGGAGTGTTGTTCTCTCATCCAAAGTGGGTTATGCTGGGAAACCGCCAGAAAGTGCTTTTTTTTACTTTTCAGTCGTTTGTGTAATTTGAGCGAGCTCGGTGTCTACGACATTACTTTACTCTTGGAGTTGTTGTCATACGGTGGCATCATTTCACAAACTACAAAATCGTAAACAGACACAAGTGCGCATAGGATCGAAAGATAACACGAAATGACTTTTGCAAACACCGGCATACCCCTTTACATTTTGTGTACGCGCTGTTTTCAATATCTCTGGGACCCGAAAACCCAAGAAATTAAAAAGAAATGCTTATGAAAAGCTTTTTGAGGAGTCAAACATTGAAGTGTATCGTGAAAGACTTGTTCGTAATACAAAACGCATTATTCCGCACTATTTATCCCTGTATAAAGGATGAAAAAAAATTTATTTCGCCATTGAAAGTGGCGGTGAATTTTGCAGAAGAGTCTAAAGTCGACAACAAATCGTGTAAAAAAAAACTACTAAATCAACTTGTCTCTCAAAGATATCGATGAGTGCTCTCAAGTCAACAACTGCAGTGAATATGCTCATTGTCACAATACCGCTGGTTCCTATAGATGTAGATGTAGAGAGGGATATTTTGGAGACGGATACACCTGCGAGCCTGGTAAAGACTGTCGCTTATAACCACGTAATATTGGCCTGTTGCATGAATTAGTAGAAATCGAAATTGTGTAATACAGTGGAACCTCGATTTAGCAAAGTGCTAAGGGACTGAGGAGATTGGTTCATTATATCGAGGTTCTGTGGCATACATTTTACTGTAACTTTGGCCGGGCTGAAACTGAAGTATCGTTCGTTATAGCGAGACCTACGTTGTATAGAGGTTCGTGAAATCGAGGTTCCATTGTAGATGCAACGCAGATAGCGCAATTGTTCATCACTTTTCGTCAAAATAATCCACGATTGCACTATTTCTACCTCACTTTACGCTGTATATTGGTCAAGAAATCCGCTTCACTTTCTCGACCCATCCAAAGGAAAATGAAAAAAACAGTCATGATTTAATCACTTTGACACAATAAGGAATTTACTTGTTTTAAATATACGCCTGTCTAAGTATTCAGACAACAGCGATGCAACTGTACAGAAAGAAATCGCCCGATATGAAACAAGCTAAAGGACCCTTTCACTTAATAATCAGCACGTAAATCCAAATATAATCCACTTTTTTTTTTCAGAGTTCTCCATCAATTCAACGATACTATCGGACAATAAATCTTACCGCAGCCATCTCTATGGGTTTCTAGTTCCAGCCGTTGGAAACGTTTCTCACTGGCTGTTATGCTTTCGTGCTTCCTCTGGAAAGGCAGATGCCAGATTTCACAGGAAATGTGATGGAAAAAATCACACCATCACTATCATAGAAGTGAATGGTTACATATTTGGTGGATATGTCGACATCCCTTGGTGTAAGCAATTTAATCAATACATCGCAACTTTGTATTGGTTTATCGGCATAATAACCTACACGGGACGATAGGAGAACATGTAGAAAGTCTGAAATTCTAGGAATACTAACATCACGCGCGGGTTATTACGGCGGTAAACTGATAGAAAGTGCTGTACATTGTTTTTATAGAACTAATTTGAACTTTTTACGGGTTTACTGGTGCAATTAGGGATCGGTTTTTTACCAATTAGGGAGCTCGCAGTGTATCAGTTACCATAACAATTCATTCTTTTCGCTGGAATTCCAGACTCAATGATGGGATAAAATATTTGACAAGATTTGGAAGTTAAAGTGCTATTTGTTAACCCAGAGGAGATCAAACACATGTCCTTAAAATTACCCGATAAGGCTTGATGGGCCTATGTTAGGCGGGCTCGAGATTTCTCATTTTGATCCCTTGCTAATTCTGGGAACTTTTAAGATAAGCAAAAATTTGCGGTGTTGTCTTTGCAAACAATAAGAACCTCGGTTTCATTGCCTTTTTAGCATCGCGCAATCAAACTTGAAGTTTGCCGAGTATCCAATCACCGAAGTCTACGTGCGCTCTGCTTGGGTCGTTAAGGATGACGCAAATGAGGTGATTTTACACTTTGAAAAGGAGAGGCCAAACCAAAAATCATGCGTGCTCTTGTCCAATCGGTTTATCGCACGCTTTGACAAAGACGCATGGAATTAATTTCTTTTACTTTATTTCAAATCCATAAGCTTACTGGGCGCGTCGAAAACAGTATGTAATACATCTCAAACGCTTGCTACTTTGGCGAGAGATAGGCCTATGCA